AGGCAAAGAACGCTTCTATTGGGCACCCTAAGGACTCGTCCTGTCATCCCTGGAGAACACAGCCTGGGAACTACCAAGGTTGCTGTAAAACCTGTCCACGTTCCAGGACACAAAAGGGTACCCAGACTATGGTAAACAACATACCCTGTACTCCTGAGAAGTCTCCAACTTCTGCACCTCATCCTGTAAATACTTCCATTGACACCATCCTTACTTCCTGCGAGCCCAAGGAAGACCTACCTGTGGATTGTGCTTATGCCTCTAATGGTACTATAGTCTGCATAAAGGACCTACTAATGTTCGAAAAGGCATTGCTAGCTTCGAACTCCGCTCCTGCAGAGGTACATGAAGTACTTACCACCTGCACCCAGATTAAAGAAAATCTTGACTGCTCTCCAGCTGTACCAAAAGCTGGTACTAAGGAGCCCCACACTGAAAAGGGACTCCACACTGGGGATTATAACTACAAGGACTTTCTTGATTCAGATAGTGAACTTGGTTAGGAGTATTATGAGGAGCCTGTTAATGCCCTGAGGGCGTTCTTAAAGGGAGGGAGTCCTGTCACAGTTCTCAGAAGTGATTGAAACCTGAGGCCTTATGCATCCCAAGCCTGCATTCCTGCCTCTAAGCCACTAATTCAGCTCATGTATCAGCCTGAAGTCCGATCTTGTATTATCTGCAGCACTAGGGGGCTGGGCTTCACCAGTGGGTTTCACCTGCCTATCTAAGCCCACCTGAATCAGATCAGTATTAGCTGGGTATTTAAGCACTGCCTTGCCCTGGGCATTGTGTCAGTTCATTGACTCTGGTTCAGCTGTTTGGTTCCTGTTTCTGAGTATCAAGATTGTTTGTTTGTTCGTTCCTGGCTCCTGACCTCGGCTCTTCTTATCGATTTCTCTGGCTTCCCCTGACTACGGCTTTCCAAGACTACTCTTCTGCTTGTTCTTGCCTGTACTGCGACTTGTTTCACTCCAAACTGCAATTCAGGGCGATAGGGCGATAGGGTGATTTGTGATTTTGAATTCCACCTATGACGCTAAAAAAAGATGATTGATGGGAAGAAACATTGATTGATGGCTTAAATACAGTCACTAAACACTGATTTTTATATACAGATCAAGTGAGCAATAGAGAGAAAAGAGAGGAGCTTCTCTTGGTTTTTCCCTCTATTGGTCACTTTTTCTCATTTGATCGGTGTACCAAATGGTGGGAAAATGCTCATCTAAATAGTACATTATTAGGGTTATTTACTAAAGTGAGAATTAAAAGTGAATTTCAAATTTAAGGCCATAGTAGCCGAACTGAAACATAGTAGACTCAGAAAATGTTTCTAGTTTAGCTGTTTGACCTTAAATTTAACATTTATTTTCACACTGAATTCTCATTTTAGTGAATATCCCTGTTAGTATGTATTTTGTCGTAAACTTTTTTTTGTACCCTTCTGTTTCTCATGGTTTCCTTCTGAATTGGTTTTTCGGTAGCTAAATTCAGTCAACATATGGCCAAAAGGGTGTCCCAAAAATCTTTCTATTTTAGCTTGGCCAAAACGAATTTTTACAATTCACACGTCTTGTAAGATCTATAATGAGATCCAGCTACCATTTAAAATTCCTGCCCAAATCCTCCTCCACATGAATACCAGATTAAATGTCCAGCAGACAGAGAAAAGGTAGAAGCTCTGCCGGTACACCACATCTTCTCTCTTCTAACAGAAACAGTCATCATCAGAATACCAGCCAAAGAAAAACATCAAGGTTATTATTCTTCTCCACTGTTCTCAGTCTGCAAGCCTTTGAGTAAGTGGCATATGATGATATTAGATCGACATTGGCAAAACAAATTCCTGTATATTTTACAAATGTGGAGAGTATCCATCCAGACTATCATTCCTGTTAATAAGCCTGAGGATTGGTTATTCTCTTTGGTACTCTGGGATGCCTTTTTTTTTTACCAGAATTTCAAACCATGTGCCCTGTCTTGTAGCATCAGCACTGTCCCTCTAACCGTAACCAAAGTGCTGACCACTGTAATTGCAGAAATGAGAACCAAGGGAATACCCATGTTCTATTACCTGGACAATATTTTAATTATGGATTTAGAGAGGCTAACAATGTTGCAGCAAAGTCAAGAAGCTGGCAGGATTCATAAGCTATTTGGGTGTGTTATCAATTCTAAAAAAATTCAACTAGAACCAACACACCATATCATCTTACTCTGAGTAAGTTTCAATACATAGAGAGCAGTAATTATCACTAGAGATAACTAATAGACTGAAAACTTGCATTCAGAACTTCCTAAGGCAGGATTTAGAAACAGAAACAGAGATCATGGAGCCTCTCTGGAACCTGTCAAAAACACAGGGTTGATAAAGTCCTAATAATTTTAGTCTAAAATTAGAAATTGACTTTGAATTCACTAATTCTTATTTTAGTAAATAACCTTGAGAATGATTCATATTTACTTTAGATGCAAATAGGTTGGTGGACACACTCTCTGCCAACTACTTTCTTCAAGCCCAGTGGCCATTAGAAATCCCACCTTCAATCATACCTCGGGGAACGTCGAACTGCTTTTCTGGTGTTGAATTGGACAGATGAGTCAAAGTCAGGTTGGAAACCAGGCATTTTCCAACAGATTTTTAGCACTTCCTTTCTTCCATCTCGAAACAGCAGCACTTGAAGCACCTCTCATGGCCATTGGAGGTAACTAAAAAAAACTAAATTTGTTTACAAATACATAGGGATTAAGGAAAGAGCGCAGGTAACTTGTTTTTCTATGGTGCCTCTTTGTCTATTTGTCAAAGGGCAGTATAACTGAGGAAATCTTCATAGTTGCTCATGATTTCCTGGAGAACCCATAAAGGAGAAATTTAATGTTCACAGCTGGACAGTTTCCTCCATTTCCACAGTTCATGGTGCACAGATTCCAGAGAACTTTTAGCTGTAAAAGAGCTGTAAAGTGGTCTTTATTAAATACATTCATACGTAATTATTATTTGGATATATTTTTATTCCTTTCAGGTTCAGCATGACCTTCAGTTTTACAATCCGTTTCCCATTCTTAATAAATTATTATCCACAGTTCAATGCTGCCATGGTTAAAGCGGTACCATCAATCCCCTGAAAAATTAGAACTACACAAAGATAGAATCTTGTGCCAGCTTACCGGAGCAGTTTAACCTTAAAGTCTTCAAGTCATGGAGTCTGTATATTCAATGTTTGAGATTTTATTATATTGTTGTAGATGTAACTCCACCACCAGCAGCATCAATGGTATGTCTTTAGCTAGCCCAGAATAAACGTGCTGGGCTGGCTAAATGCCAATTGTGCATTTTCTATGCACACATGGTCATTTAGTGGCTGAGAGCACTGATCTGATGCTCTGAGCCAAGGTGGATGTTGTTAAGAACTTTCTTTCAGATGAAAAATTGAAGAAGAAGACTTCAGCATCGCACACAAATTGACACCGCAAACAGCCACACAGAGACATTCTTTCACAGATTTACAGGCACAAATAGATAACATACAGCATAGATACCCATGCTCACAGATGCACACTTGCATATATAGACTCACTGTCACACAGGACTCATATATACAGACACAAACCAAGATGCACATTCACACATACAGACAGATAGATACACACTCATACATGCAGACATACAATGACAAATTCAGACAAACACAGATACACAGTCACATATACAGAAACACAGATGTTGTGGGATTGCTGCACAGAGGGGAGGAAGATAGATATCCTCATCTTATACAGCCTCAGCTAGGATTGGTGCCAGTCTGTGGTAGAGCTTTCCTGCTGCCAAACCTGGAACCCTGACATTCCCCATGCCTTGCAGAAAGAATATTAAAAAAATATATATATACATTTTATTTATTTATTTTAAAAAAATTTTTTTTTTTTTTTTTATTGGAGTGTTCCTTTTATGCTTACCAATCCTGGATTGAACTGTTACATTTATTCCAGCACTAGGAAAATCTCCTTACTGCAGCATTGGTCCACCTCCTGTGAAGTCATCATTTTTGGTGGCTTGAGTCCAATCAGATTGGGACACCATGCGCATGAGCGGCAATCAACGTGATTCACCAACAATGCTTCAAAGAAAAGGATTCAAAACCAGTGTTTGCGTCCACCTTGAACTAGTTCAAAGCGAGTGAGACAGGAAAGTGATACCAAGAGGATTGACAAAATGCCAGTATCTCTTGAAATCAGTATGTTTATAAAATAAACCCAGAGAGACATGCTGTTAACCTACGAAGCAGTTCAGCAACCAGATCACATTCACTGCAACATATTGGTCAATAATGTGACTTACGTATTCACAAGAATGTAAATTAGTTTGACATGACCTATTACACATAAAGCCATTGTTGCATAAACTATTGCCTAGAAAGAGTCTCTTACCCTTAAAACTGCATTCCTGCGAGGGATGTTTGACTTGGCAGTCTTAAATTTCCAAGCTCAGAGTGTTGCTTTATTTATAACTAAAGGCATCACACAATTTTTCTCCCATTCACTGGGCCCATTCAATGTGGAAAAAAAGATTCTTTAAGGGAACTCTAAAGTGTTAGGAATACAAATTTGCTGCTCACCTATCCTCATACTGCACGTTTTGGAATCCTCAGCAATAGCTGAATCTAGTAGGGAAGTAATGGATACTTGGTATGCATGCATGGTGAGCGCTTTCAAGGTTCCCCATAGGAAAGAGTTTAATCAATGCTTTTCTATAGGGGCTGCCATGTCATGTGACCCCATTTTACTTGCCTCCACGTGCTCAGTGATAACCAACACTGGAGGAATGGTTAGGCTTCAAGGTAAACCTGGTCCTTTTGCAGTGGTTAAATTACACGATCACTGCACCCAAGCCATTTCATTGACAAAGAGTGGCCTGGGTGACTTTAGTGGTCCTTTTAAACAGTTAAAAAAAATGTTCTGTCTTCTGTCCTTTTTATTATTTTTTAAATTCTTTATTTTTGACTCCGGTCATGGTTTCAGCATAAAAGGTGAGTGTTACAAAAGAGAGAAAACAGATAAGAGGAATGCAACATTTACATATCGGTAGGCTTGAACAATATTGTGTGGCATACATGTGGGGTTTACTAGCCATCGGCCATGAGCTTAGGGAATTTTATTTTGGGTAGTGGGAGTCGGTGTTGCCGTTAAGCCTAGGGGGTCTAGAGGTCTGGCCATATAGCTGGTGCGGCTGGCATTGCTAGGGGCTGTTAGGCTGATGTCTAACTGGTTTAACAAGTTGATATGGTTCCGTTGTCGTGCTAGGGAGCCATATCTGGTGGTGAGCTGCATGCTCCCTCTATAAAAGTGTACCCCTTTACCACGGGGGGAGGGGGCAGGTGAATTTGTGAGTAGACACAGTGGGTAAAATAAAGAAGAGTCCCGGTTACTGATAATGGTATGTCCGTGGAGCCTTGGGGCTATGAAGAGTTATGCATTAGGCTTTCACCCTTTTGTCCAGTTCACCGACAAACCAGCCCAGTGGAGTTTACGTCTGCTGTCTGTATGGGCCATTTCAAAATCGAGTTATTATCCTGCTGTAGGATAATCGGCTAATTAGTTAAATTAAGCACTGTATCTTTAAGTATCCGCATCATTGTTTAAAAATTGGTTCTCTTAGGGCTCAAGCATATGACATCACAGTCTAGGCTTTTAAATGGGAGGGCTCTACTCTGGCCCTTTGCCAGTTTATGCTCCTTTCTGTGCTGTTCGTTTTTGGTTCAGATTTTGACTTTTTCCATGTTCCTGTTTTACTGATTTTCCGTGTTCCTGCTTCCAGTATAGCTTCTTTGGCTTGACTGACTACTTGATTTCATGCTACATACTGCGGCTTCTCTTACTACCTGATTTTGGTATTCCTTACTCTTCGTTTTTTACAATGTTCTGGTGTCTGTATTATATGTTAAGATCAGTCACTCTACAGTCTAGTTACACACCTGTCTATCCCTGTATGTTTCTTCAGCAATGAGTTACTTACCTGTTCTTGCTTACCCGTCTGTTCACCTATAACTGCGTTCCCATACTTACCTTTCCGAGGCCTAGACCCTAATAAGGACCTAACAAATCCTATAAGGTATTACATGGCACAGTAAAGTCTTTATTGTTCAGTTCACCACTCCGTTTGGCAAGGCATTGACCATCACATTTCTTCTTCTTCTGTTAGATAGTTCACAATGAGGTACTCTCTTTTCGTGTTTCGCTCCACATAAACCCTACATGAAAAACCCAAAATTTCAAATTTCCATTCATCAGTGAATAAGACCTTCCTCCAGACTTCAATAGTCCACTCTTTATTTATTTTGCCATCTCTTTTAGATTGTATCATTCAAGAGCCCACAGGAAAGATTTCTAAGAGCAAGTGCAAAAAAAAAAAGTTTACCCCAAAATTCAAATTTAATGCATGGAATAGTTTGATTGCATATGTTTGAATGTTTAAACTACTCTTTACTTACGTGGGGAAAAAATGCTTGTTTACATAAATTGTAGCTTGTGTTTCCATATAACATGAGATCTTGCTAACTTATGTCTCAATTTAATAATTTTTGATGTTTTATTTATTTTTTTTGTCCACAAAATTAAAATACCAAAAAATATCATATATGAGAAATATCCATATCCATTCATATATAAAAAACATTTTTCAAAATATTTGTTAATTTTAACCCCTTAAGGCCTTAATTGTCTCAAGCAAAAAACAACCTAGAATTTGTGATCTGGGTTAGTTCCACTGTAATTTAAGGTTTTTTTTCTTTGATTGCCTGTAAACATTTTATATGTTGAATTTTAAAGGACAAAATGGGCTTTCTTTTAATAACCTATAAGTATACCTACCACAACATATAGTGTTAATAAAATGTAAAAAATTGGTAAAATACACATTTTTACCTTTTTGCTTATCATGCTACTACTACTACTAATTTTTACACATCCAATGCAACTAAATAAACAGAACGAAAAATAGATTCACATTTCAGTCCTGATTGTTAAATGCCTAATAGGTCTAGGATCTCAATACATTTTTGGCTGTTAATGCTAACCCTATACCAACCACTTCCTAATGCTATACCAACCATACCCCTTGTATATGTTCGCTAATCATATACCCACCATAGCTTACCCTTAACCCTACACTAGCGGTAGCCCTAACATTTGTCGCAGCTCCCTTAGGAGGTTGGCGATGTCTTGTTTGGTGGCAGGAGCATGGGGGTCCTGTTCAGTCAGTGCCTCCAGGAAGGTCGTGGGAGCATCGGCGTTGCCGGTTGCGTTTAGGGTGGCTGGCGGTTTTGCTTTGTGCATGCCAGTGTCTAGCTGGGCCGCCATCTTGGGTGTCATCGGGCACTGTAACATCGCCTCTATATCATGGGAGTCCTTGCTGGGGCCAGCCTGAGGTTTTTGGGTCCTGCGCCCCATGATGTCTGTGTGTTTGGAGGCCTGTCAGGTAACCAGGGGGAGCTATAGAACTCTAACAGTTCGTCTTCCAAGCCCCGTGCATCTGCCCGCGTGGTCTTGTACCCAGGGTAGGCCCCGGATTTGCGCCCGGTTTTCCCACCCGATTTCGGGTACAGGAAAGGCATGTGCCTATTGCTCACCCTTTCTGGGGTATGGTGAGTGCCTTCCGGGGTTCTGATGCCCGCGGGGTATCCCTTATTTTGGCGTTTGTTGCGGTCGGCGCCTGGAGCTCCCAGCAGATGCATCCGTTCGCCGTGGGTGCTAAGCCCTGCCCCCCGCCTATAAACATTTTATATGTTGAATTTTAAAGGACAAAATGGGCTTTCTTTTAATAACCTATAAGTATACCTACCACAACATATAGTGTTTAATAAAATTTTAAAAAATTGGTAAAATACACATTTTTACCTTTTTGCTTATCATGCTACTACTACTAATAATTTTTACACATCCAATGCAACTAAATAAACAGTCCTGATTGTTAAATGCCTAATATGTCTAGGATCTCAATACATTTTTGGCTGTTAATGCTAACCCTATACCAACCACTTCCTAATGCTATACCAACCATACCCCTTGTATGTGTTCGCTAATCATATACCCACCATAGCTTACCCTTAACCATACACTAGCGGTAGCCCTAACATAGCAATTACCCAAGCCCAGCATTAACGCTTACCTTACCCTAACACTAACCCTACAGCTAAACATAACCCTACCCCTAACCCTATACTACAGAAATCATCTGCTAATATAATAACTGATATCAGCAGATGGGTTTCCTAGTTAAAACAGTAGAGTTGGTGTGGTGCAGTATGCAGCTCAACTGTCAGTCTGAAGGCACTAAAAATGGCCCAGCTGAAAGTGGAGACCCCAGGTATCGACTGATATCTACCTATTCACAACTGGATTTTTATAATGTGGATTTAAATCTATATCTGAAGAAATGTATGCAGCACTCACTTTGAGCACGGCATACAGCTCATCTGTCAGTCTGGGGACACTAAAAATGGTTGATACCTTGGACTTCCTAGTGTGAGCAGAGATTTAGCCTTGCTCACACCAAAACTGCAGGACGTCCTAGCAAGGTTAAAGCCCACTCTGTGGAGGATGGCATGAAACTTCTTAACGTCAGGAAGGGGTTAAAAATTATCCAGAAATATTAAATCATTTGAATATTATTATAAACAATATTAATAATATCAAGGTCTGTGTTGTGAGTTGTGAGGGATTATGTTAGCATAAAACTTAACTGTTTTAGCTATAATTCAGTATTGGGTGATCTAAGTCACCCCAAAACATGCTCTGGTGAATGTAATATCTCTACATATAAATGTAGAAACTAAAAATAGAATCTGGTTATGTATCTTGTATCACATGCGCTTAGCAACCGATACTAGCCTGCACAAAATATTCTAATTCTGATGTCATCACCTGCATTTAGGACATGCAATTATTCCAGCATGTTTCAGATCTGCACAGGAAATTTAAAGGACCACTATAGGCACCCAGACCACTTCAGCTTAATGAAGTGGTCTGGGTGCCAGGTCCAGCTAGGTTTAACCCTTTCTTCTATAAACATAGCAGTTTCAGAGAAACTGCTATGTTTATATTAGGGTTAATCCAGCCTCTAGTGGCTGTCTTGTTGACAACCGCTAGAGGCGCTTCCGCGCTTCTCACTGTGAAAATCAGTGAGAACACGCCAGCGTCCATAGGAAAGCATTGTGAATGCTTTCCTATGAGACTGGCTGAATGCGCGCGCGCGCGGCTCTTGCCGTGCATTCAGGAGAGGAGAGTCCCCCGCCCGGCGCTGGAGAAAGAGGTTGTAGCATTGCTCACCTTATCCAGGGGCCGGCCGCGGTCCTCTCTTCGAGCCGCACGCGGTCCTGCTGCTGCACAAGCCATGCGCGGCTCATCCGACAGCCTCACTAGAAAGGCGGGCAGTGACCGCGAGAGGCGGTCACGTGTCCCGCCTGAATCTAAAAGGCTCCCATTGGCCCCTGTCATGCCACACTCCCCATACACTTACCTTTTGGGGGTGTGGATATGACAGGAGCCAATCACATTAGTTTAGAAGCTATATATACTTACCTCTCCCTTTACTCCCTGCCCTATCGTGGTTTCTGTATCAGTTCCCTTTAGCGCTTGTTGTGTTCAGTTGTGTTTCTCCGTTTTGACTTTGGCTTTGTTTCTGACTACGTTTTCTCTTTATCCTTATCTGTTCTGGTTGTCGGCTTGCTGTTTACTGTGTACCAGACCCCGGCTTGTCCTAGTTTACGCTGTCTCTCTGTGCCCTTGACTTCGGATCGTTCCTGACTCTGCCTCCTCTCATATACGTCGAGTCCGGCCATTCTAAGGTCCGGTAGACGTATCTCTCCTCTGTGTTGTCTTCTGTTTAGCTGAATCCTGCGTGTTGGGGTATATTCACGTTACATTACGATAGGGCCATGGACCCCGCAGATTTGGCTCAGCAAATGGCTTCTCACGAGGCAAGGTTTGTAGAACAGGATCACCGTATGGATCAGATAGCACAGGCTCTCCAGACGCTCTTGTCTAGAACTATTCCTGCAACCGCACCTAACCCTCCTACACCTCATCCTCCCGAAGTATCCAATTCACCCAATACTTCGCCCCATTTAACACCTCCTCCTAGGTATGGAGGGGAAGCCAAGACATGCAGAGGTTTTATTAATCAAATAGAATTCCACCTTGAGATGTATCCTCATTCCTTTCCCACTGATAGGTCTAAAGTGGGGTTTTTGATGCATCAACTTACTGACAAAGCACTTGAGTGGGCAAATCCTATTTGGGAGGCCAATGGACCTATGGTGCATAATTTCAATAGCTTTCTTACGGCTTTTCGTAGAACTTTTGACACAACAAAAAGGTCAAAGAATGCCGCAAGAGCATTAATGAGAATTAAACAGGGGTCTAGGTCTGTGGCTGATTATGCTATTCAGTTTCATACCCTTGCTCCACAGGTAGATTGGACCAATAATGGGTTAACTACTGCGTTCATGGAAGGTTTATCTGACACTATATTAGATGAGGTAGCGGCAAGGGAGCTTCCTATTCCATTAGAGGACCTTATTGACTACCTCATTGATATAGATAATAAGATTCGTGACAGGCTCTATACCAAGAACAGGAATAGACGTCTGGTCACATCTACTAACCCCAGAGTTGATAAACCTGAGAGTGTTAAAGTATGCGAGGAGGAACCCATGCAATTAGGGGTTGCCAAACTCTCGGATACTGAAAAACTACTTAGAAGAAGGAACGGACTCTGCCTATACTGTGGTAGGCGAGACCATATGGTAAAGGAATGTCCTTTGCTTCCGGAAAACTCTCGCACCTAAGACCTTATAGGGGACTGGCCTTGGGTGTGATATCTAAGTCTCCTAAATTGCCTCCTAACCGTTTGCTTCTCCCTGTTTCCCTTCATACGGGAGAGAGTTGTATAGCTGAAAGCATACTAGCCTTGGTTGATTCCGGGGCTGCTGAGAACTTCATTGACTCTGAGTTTGTTACGAAAAATAACATTCACGTCAGAGAAAGGGAAATACCCTTGGCCATTGAGGCCATAGATGGTAGACCTTTAAATACTCCAGTCGTTACCCATGAAACTGTACCATTATTCATGTACACAGTGGTTTTACACCTTGAGACCATTCGGTTTCAGGTTATCACCTCTCCCTCTTCTCATATCGTGTTAGGGTACCCATGGTTATGTTCTCACAATCCCATTTTTGACTGGGAATTGGGACAATTAAAATCATGGGGTAAAACCTGCCACGACTCTTGTATGATTAAAGTCACCCCTCTAAATACCATTAATGTTCCTACTACTCCTCCTTTGTCTACTGTTATACCTCCTCAATACTTGTTTCTCAAGACTGTATTCGATAAAAGGGAAGCTGATAAATTACCGCCTCACAGATCCTATGATTGTGCTATCGATTTATTGCCTGGCACTATACCTCCTAAGGGCAGGGTGTACCCTTTATCTATTCAAGAAAACCGTATCATGGAGGAGTATGTTAAAGAATCACTAGAAAAGGGGTTCATTAGGAGATCCTCTTCTCTGGCTGGAGCAGGGTTTTTCTTCGTATCTAAGAAAGAGGGTGATTTAAGACCGTGCATCGATTATAGAGGTCTAAACAAAATCACTATCAAAAATGCATACCCTATACCTTTAATTACAGAGTTATTTGACAGGCTGAAACATGCTACTGTGTTCACCAAATTGGACCTTAGAGGTGCATACAATTTAATACGCATAAAGGAAGGTCACGAATGGAAGACTGCATTCAACACTAGATCCGGTCATTACGAGTATACTGTTATGCCATTTGGTCTTTGCAATGCCCCAGCAGTATTTCAGGAATTTATTAATGATGTCCTAAGAGACTTTATTCACACATTTGTAATTGTATACTTGGACGACATATTGATATATTCTACAGATTTACACACTCATCACAGACATGTCACAACGGTCTTGAAGACCCTTCTTAAAAATGGTCTTTATTGTAAACTAGAAAAATGTTTATTTGACCAATCCGAAGTCCAGTTCTTGGGGTATTTGATTTCCGCCAAAGGGTTTCGTATGGATCCCCAGAAGCTTTCTGCTGTCATAGAGTGGCCTCTACCACAGGGTTTGAAAGCAATTCAACGTTTTCTTGGTTTCTCTAACTATTATAGATGCTTTATTAAGGGTTTTTCTTCTATTGTAGCACCTATCACCCGTATGACAAAAAATGTGGTAATAATCGTGTCTGGTCTCCCGAGGCACTTCAGGCTTTCGACTTTCTTAAAACTACATTCGCCTCTGCACCTATTTTACAGCACCCTATCCCCTCACTGCCTTATATTCTTGAAGTTGATGCTTCTGAAATCGGAGTAGGTGCTGTTTTGTCCCAAAGAGAATCGCCTGAAAAGCCATTGCATCCTTGTGGCTTCTTTTCTAGACAAATGTCCAAAGCTGAAAGGAATTATGATGCGGGTAATCGTGAACTCCTTGCTATTATCTTAGCTCTTAAAGAATGGAGACATCTGTTAGAAGGAACTAAGGATCCTATCCTTATTTTTACAGATCACAAGAATCTATCCTACCTTGGTGAAGCTAAAAGATTATCTTCTAGGCAGGCTAGATGGTCACTATTTTTGTCCCGTTTCAATTATATTATCACCTATAGGCCAGGTGATCGCAACATTAAAGCAGATGCTCTGTCCAGACAGTTCGAAACTACTGACA